TAAAAAGGAGTCAAGCTCATGCACCTGCTTGAAGGGGCCCAAACTGTCAGAGATCGGGACAATCGCCTGGATGATAACACTCAGTGACGCCCTCCACAATTTCATCGATGGCCTGGCGATTGGGGCTTCCTGCACCTTGTCCCTTCTCCAGGGGCTCAGCACCTCTATAGCCATCCTGTGTGAGGAGTTTCCTCACGAGCTAGGTAAGGGCTCTGCTCAGGCTGGGAAAGTCAGTTCCTTCTTGGTTTTTCAGTGGAATGAGACATTTCAGGTGACACACTTAAAAGCCCTGCTGATGGCATCAAAATGAAGAAGCCTTTGTTAGACATTATATTTTATCTCATCCCAAATTGAAAAAAAAACTCTTGATATTTTCTTCTTCTTCTAGGGGACTTTGTGATTCTACTCAATGCAGGAATGAGCACTCGACAAGCCTTGCTATTCAATTTCCTTTCAGCGTGTTCCTGTTACGTTGGGTTAGCTTTTGGCATTTTGGTGGGCAACAACTTTGCTCCAAATATTATATTCGCACTTGCTGGAGGCATGTTCCTGTATATTTCTCTGGCAGACATGGTAAGAAATTTTAAATTTTTATCTTGTTTTAGTTTAAAATTTATGAATAAACATCTGGGTTACAATTTGACTAGGGGTGAAAAGAAACTCTTTTTGTTGTAATTTAAGACATTCCTGGTTTAGCAGATAACTCTTCGAATAGTAATTTGAAAGGGATTCTCATTGATTCTTTTTAAAAAATATATTTTTATTGATTTCAGAGAGGAAGAGAGAGGGAGAAGGAGATAGAAACATCAGTGATGAGAGAATCATTGATTGGCTGCCTCTTGCACACCCCACACCCGGGATCGAGCCTGCAACCCGGGCATGTGCCCTTGACCGGGAATTGAACTGTGACCTCCTGGTTCCTAGGTCGATGTGTAATCACTGAGCCATGTTGGCAGGGTGATTCTTTAAGTTATGATCTTATTGACAGAAGAGGAAATGAATTATGCTTACTGAAGTAGAGATATTTCCCCAAGGTTTTGTCTTGGGGTGGATGAACCTTGTGTTCTATTAGTGTATGTCCCTTAGGGTTTTTTCCTTCTCTGTTGTGAGGATCTCACATTGGAAGAGGACTAACTTGTTTTGTAAATAGAATTTTGTTATTTCAAAGTTCTAAACAGCGAGAGACTTTTGGGTGAAACTGAAACTAGTAAATTAAAAGTAGACAATATGTACTTGGGTCAGTCTATACTTATATCTATATTTATACCTATGGCTGTGTCTTGTATATTTATTTATTTGTGTGTGTGTGTGTGTGTGTGTGTATTTGTGTGAATATAAATAGTCCTGTGCATTTTCATATGCATCATGTACAGCTTTTTAGAAAATGAAGAGGTGCTAAGTGTATGCAAATCAAGGCTTATTTCCTTTGCATTTGGAACTGAATGTTTTAAATTACGGGCATAATTTAATAATTTAAATTCCTTCATCTGCATTCTTAGCTCCAAATGATCATTGCTGAGCCCTGTTGGTTGTGCTGTTCAGGCCCTTATAAGAGCAAGGATTCCATCCTTTAGAGCCATCACTGCATTTACAGTTTTCTTCACAGAATTAGTGTTTCCTATTCTATTGATGTTAGGTCATCACTTCTCCTTTCTCTGATATAAGAACAGACTCTATTAGAGTGGTTAATTTGCAGAAACAATACTGATAAATGATGCTGTATATACTTGCAGCAGTTTTATTCTTTTCAGAATGGTTTCACCCATTTTATCTTCGTACCAATTTTCTTAAATCAGGCACATGACCGACTGAGGGGGACCTCTTGGATGCTGGTACAATGCACCACTGCACACACAGCAAACATTTCGGAATATGTTTTTAGGAGTGGCATTTGCTGATCTCCACATGGAGCCTTTTCAATAGAAGTTACCTGCTGAGAAAGAGCAGATCTTAAGTACAGAACTTGGGGGTTTAATTGCATTCACTGTAATGAGACTGTTATAGTCTTCAATCCTAGAGCAGTGCATAATTTATTTAAAAACCTTGTAATTTTATGAGGGGCAGAGCAAGCAAAAATACACAAATTGAAAAGAACAGGGATTAAATGTATATTGATTACTAAAAAATGATTTATTCAGCCACCAGGCCTGGAAATTGATAAGCCACTGGGCATGCTGGTGTGGACAAGCGGCACCGTCCTCTCACTCATGGGGCTTCCTGTTTACAAAGAGGAGAAGCTAAAGTTCAACAAAGAAACAAAACCCACACACATGACTAAGTAATTACACATAAAAAATATGTGAAATAGAAGATAAAGCAATATATCTGAGAGATGAAAGTAAAGGAACCTAATGTAAGCTAGAAGGGGCTAAGAGAAGCCTTTCTAAGAAAGTACGATTTAAGTTGAAACCTGAAGGATTTAGCTCATTGGAACACTGGAGGTGGAAAAGTTCAGTGAAAATTTTAGCAGGTGTGAAGATTTGAGGGAGGAAAGAGGCTCCATGTGTTTGAGGCCCTGAAAGAATGTTGTGATGGGGGGGGGGGGGGGGGGAGAGAATTAAATGAGGTAAATCCCATTTCACTGGTTAACTAATTAACTCACTGAGGAACACTATTTTAGTACTTTTATTTATTTTTTGATATTTAATAGAGCTAGATATTCCTAAAACACCAAAACATCTGAAATAAATGGTTATTTCAGAAGTCTATAAATGACTAGTTGATGTTTTACCACAAGATGGCGACAGTTATCTAACAATATCTCTCTCTTCTAGTTTCCAGAGATGAACGACATGCTGAGAGAAAAGGTGACTGGCAGAAAGATCGACTTCACCTTCTTCATGATTCAGAACGCTGGAATGTTAACGGGGTTCACAGCCATCCTGCTCATTACTCTGTATGCAGGAGAAATTGAATTGGGGTAGCAGGAGATGAAAGATGGTGTTGTAATGAAGGCATTTAACAAATAAAAACATCTCCAGAGGGATTTTAAGCTGATCCTCTTTAGTTAAAAGATAATTTTTTTTTCAACTGTAGGTCAAGAAAACTAGCTATTGCTTTCAGATCTGGGAAATAGGCTATTATTTGTTATTAAAAATGTTTCAAAAGATTATAGTTCCAGTCTGAAAAGCCTTGAATGCGAGATCTTTGGGAAATACTTTTTCATGTATCATAAATATTAGAAAATCATCATAAAGCAAGAAACATGCAGTGGATAGTCACTTAGACACCAAAAACCCAGAGGAGAATACAAGCTAGGTGGTAGAAGCTTTTAAACCTCTGGGTAGGATCAAGAATTCAAGAGGTTTCAGTGTGGTGTTCTTTTAAATTGATTTGTTCTAGTACTTTCACGAGCAAGTACATAAAAATGTGGAAGGCTATCAAAACGTATACAACACAGATATAGATGATTCCCAGGCCTTCCTGAACCCAGGAATGAAGTATTGCTCACAGCTTTTGTTGTGTCATACTTTAGTTAGGCATTCATAGGATTGTTTTAAAACCATCCAATATAAATTATGAAATCAATAAAGCATCCAATATAAATTATGAAATCAATAAAGCTTTGCTAGCCTTAGTAAATTTAGACCGTATCTGATACTTATCTCTAAGTATAAGCTCTACCAGATTTCACAAAAAGTAGGAATTGCTTTGTATGACTTAGGTTGTGGCTGCACCAAACAAAAAGAGTCTGCAAAGCTGGTAACTGATGGCTCAGTTTTCATTTTTAATGTCCTTGCTTTATGTTGGTTTTCAGAAAAAAAAATTGAATGTAATTTTAAGTAATTTTCTTTAAAAGATGAACACAATTATTTAGCAAAGGGTATTTTAAATAAATGCAAAACAACAGCTGGACTGCTGTATGTTGAGGACTGATTATCTGGAAAACATACATTCCTTATGGGATTGAGATCATTCAGAAAAGCCTTCTTTTGTGTTCATTCTACATTTTTCCTCTATGGTATATGCTGGAAAAAAGTTCTGCACATCATGGTTATTTTTCTACCTTTTATAAAAGATAGAGCCTGTTTTCTCATTTAGTAGGCACAGAAAGTTGGTCTGAAATTGACATCCTGCCCCCAATTCACACTCCCAAGTCACTTAAGGAAAGATGATCTAACGGTGAAGAAAATGATTTATAAAAGCCAATAATGACCTCAGGAATTGCATTTTCCCACAGAGTATAAAATGGTGTCTCATAGCAATAATGCAGGTCTGATGGGTGTTTAACATGTATGTGAATATACATTTCACTTTATGACTGACAATTAAAAATATTGTTTGACCAAATAGTAAACACCTTTGAAACCATGTATTGTGTCATTCATTATGAATTTTCGTATGTATCTTTTTTGAGTGACTTTCATATACTGGGTATTATGGGGGAGATAGGTAAATAGGAAGCTGGTGACGTGTTTTTTTTCAGGGACATTCAGCAAATAAAAATGATAAAGTTAGTAACTCTTTATTCAAGGAAGTAGGCATAGAATTTATTTTTATCATGTCATCTGTTTACAAAATTTTAAGAAATAATCTTACCTTTTCAAAGCACAGATTGTATGTCTGGGTTAAGAAACTACTTACAACATGATATTAAAACAATAGATCATTGTATATATGGACTGTTTGGATGCTTCATGTTATCTTCTCCATGTGTTGACCTTCTGGCCATTTTCCTCAACTATGAGTTGAACACAGGCAATACAGCATGAAGGGACAAAAAGCAAAAAGAAAATTGCTACTTATTGAAGACTATGTGTGTTGTCTCCAATAGGTAGGAAATGGATAGCCATGATTACATTTATATTATCCAAGATACCTATTTGACAAAGTATAATCCTATCAGTCAACATATCATATATGAAGCATTCAGTTGAGCATTCTCTAATCTTTAGACTTTAATGATGCCATGACAAACTAAAAATGATTCCAGTGCATGATATATTGGGTTACCTACTTTTAGTTTTGTATTGTTAAATTTTTAAAAATGCCCAGAAATCGCTGGCATTTTTTTGTTTGGTATATTTGATTATTGGAAATTGAGTGCATCTTTTTCAATTAAAAATTTATTCTTTCCAGTAAAAGATAGGCTGACAGTCTTTAGTTTTGTCATGTTAAATTTTTAAAAATGCCCAGAAATCGCTGGCATTTTTTTTGAGAATTGTATCATATCCTGTGTTAGTCTGTTCAAGCTGCTATGCAAAAATACCAAACTGAGTAGCTTATAAACAACAGATACTCATTTCTCACAGCTGTGAAGGGTAGAAGTTCAAGATCAAGGTACCAGCACATTTGGTGTCTGGTGAGAGCCTGTTTTCCGATTCATAGATGGTGCCTTTTCAGTGTATCCTCATGTGGTGGAAGGGGCAAGGGATCTAGAACCTTTTTGTAACAGCACCAATCCTACTCATGAGGGCGCCACCTAATGACCTAAGCACTTCCCGAAGCCTCCACCCAATACCATCGCCTTTGGGGTTAGAGTTCAACATATGGACCAGGGAGAAGACACACATTCATAACAAAGAAGACCCCTTATTACCTGCAGAATTGAAGATTCACACCAGGCTATTCTCATGCTCACAGGTTTGTGGATTGGAGGTCAGCTGATCTAGCCTGGGCTATTGCTGGGTGGCTCAGCTCAGCTTCAGGCTGGGGGTCTTCTAGGCTGGGCTGCTGTAAAAAGAGGTGCAAAGTCATGTGGCAAAGGGCATAGGTGCATAATTCTAGTACAGGGGGAGAGTGAGAACAAAAGGATTCAATCTACCTTAACTGGTTTCTATAGGCTATTTAGTATTTCATTTTACCTGGTAGAAAATATATAATATCAATAATAACTCATTAGAAGTTTCCAGAACCATTTCCTTGTTCTAATGCAAATATTTATTTAGATTCCCTTTTATAAGAACATTATTTCCTTTCCTTTGCCAGTGTACATTATGTGTGGATAGTTAACATAGGTATTTTAACAGGGCCAATTACTGATGGCCTGAGCCAGCAGAACGTTACCTGCCCATCTCTCCTCCATCCTCTGACTGGAGTTGTCTTCCTTTGGGCCTTTCTTTGATGTTTATCAGTCGGCTATCCTAATTTCCAGGTGCTTTGTTTGGTTAAGCTCCATTACAGTGCAAGAGATTCTTAACCCAATAGTACATAAATTCCCTAACACTGATGTTGCTATAGCTACTGTTGCACTGACACGCTGCCTTGCCCCAGCTGTGGGTGGCAAATGTGTTAGATCACATTTCCCTTAGCTTCCTTCCTGTGCTGAGTATACACAAAGCATCCTCTCATGGCCATATGACTTCCTATACTGGAGGTCCCCAACTTCTCCATGTCTCATAATCAGTGATGTTACTAGTAACATTTCAGGGAAGCTAAGGCGACACGAAAAACCGAAAACTCCAAATACCTGCTCTATTCGTTCTAAGGAAGGCATTTCCCCCAGATTTTAACATTTCCAAGCGACACGTTACAATCACTAGCAACCAGGTGGCATTGTTGAGGTTGTTATAGTTGTGTGAAAATGAAGAGAATTTGTTGGAATCTGGGAACGCCAAAAAAATGCCAGGATCACTGTGTTTGGGATTTGATGGTGTGTAATAGCAGGCACTTACACATGTCAGGTTCACTTTCCTTCCTCCAGAGGAAGCGTGGCAGACACAGTGCAGGGCTGGAGGCACTGGGAACCCGGGATCCTTTGATCTGTCATCTAGGTCTTCTGGCTTCAAGATTACTTCATGTTCTAAGATGTTTGCTGGAGGGATCCAGCTGTAGAGTCCAAATCCTATGTAGTTCAGGAGGGTTATGTAGAAAAACAAAAAATTCACACCCAGTTCTTCACCCCTCTTAAAGGAGCATTCTCAGAAATAATATACAATATTTCTAGCTCTATTCACCAACCAGCATGAGTCACATGGTCATATAAATTTGCAAAAGAAGCTGGGAAATGTTGCTTTTATTTGGATACACTGCACCAATAAAATCAGGGTTCTGCTACTGAGAAGAAGTAAAGAATGGACGTTGTGCAGACTATTGGCCACCCCAGGTACAGACAGGTTTGTGTCTGGTTTACTTGGGGGAATTATTGTTTCAGATGGTTCTGACAAGGCCAGTTCAGGAAACTGCTTCTTCTTTTAGGAATTCTCATGACCTCTTTCAGAGTAATTCCATGTCACCTTGACCATTTTAATTATACTGACCCACATAACCAGTCTTACCAACAGTATTGTTCATACAAGTTGTACTCATCTTTGTACTTTCTGTCTCAGCCTGTTGTGAGTACTACATGTATTTTTATACATCCTGTGGTTTCCAAAGGATGGTCTAAATTTAAAGAAAACAAACAAAAAAACCACCCCAAAACCCCAAACCTCCTTTTTAATGGACTTTGATCTTTCTGCTTAAAATTCTCACATGCAAAGCTATAAAACCATCAGCAAAAATTGGCAAAAAGAAATTTTAAAAATTATTTATTTACTAGAGGTCCGGTGCATGAAATGTGTGCACTTGGGGTTGGGGGCATCCCTCAGCCCAGCCTGCGCCCTCTCATAGTCTGGAAGGCCTTGGGAGATGTCCGGTTGATGGCTTTGGCCCGCTCCCTAAGCCATCAGTCGGACATCCTTAGCACTGCCACAGAGGCAGGAGAGGCTCCTGCCAACCCTGCTGTGCTCACCAGCAGTGAGCCCAGCTTCTGGCTGAGCAGCGCTTCTCCTGTAGGAATGTACTGACCTCCAGGTTGCAGATGCTTAATGCAGGAGCTGCCCCCTGGTGGTCAATGCATTTCATAGCGATTGGTTGTTCTACCGTTGGCCCCAAACTGGCTCTCTGACATCCCTTAAGGGGTCTTGGATTGTGAGAGGGCTCAGGCCAGGCCCAGGGACCCCACCAGTGCACAGTCGGGGCTGGGGAGGGATGCAGGAGGTTGGCCAGCCAGGGAGGGACCACGGGAGGGCTCCAGGGCATGTCTGGCCTGTCTTGCTCAGTCCTGATCAACCGTA